GTAACATTAGCATTAATGGAAATGATTTAAAACAACTCAAGTCTTTAACACAGATTTAAAGTCATGATCACTTTCTGCATCCCTGATGTGTATTGGAAGTGAGTTCCAGAAGACTGATGACCAATTGACCGAGTGCGAGTGACTGGAAGAACAAGTTGACATTAGAACAAAGAGTGTGACAAGGTTGGCAGATGAGTTCCTAGAGATATAAGGGTGCTGATCCCTTCAAACATAATACGGTATGTAAGCAGTAGAACCTTGTACTCAATGCACTTTGAGACCTGTAGCCAGTGTGGTGATCAAAGAATTGGGGTGATGTGTTGCCGCGTTGATGAGCGTGTGGCAAGTCTGGTGGCAGAGTTCCGAATATGTTGTAGTTTTGAAATTTGAGATTCAGAAGCAAACCGTTGCACTGATTGAGACGACACGCAATGAAGACGTATATGATTTTCAGTGGTATCCTGGTCAAGGTATTTACGGATTTGACCAATTATGTGGAGAACATAGGGGGAGGAGCGACAGATACCATTGATCTGCTCATGCATCTTTAACTCTGCAGTCATTATTGTTCCAAGATTGCACACAGAAGCAACAGTCAAAACTGTTTTGCCCTCTCTACGTCCAGCTTGGGGCTCGTACCAAAAAGTGGAAAAAGATCATTTTCATTTCACTGAAGTTGTCTTCACCAACAAAGTTTGCAGTTGAGCAAAATCAGTTAAAGTGAATACTTGGTAGGGAGTATCATTTTTTTTGTCTTGACATTTCCGAAGAAATTTTCCAGAAAGCTAATTCTGTCATGGATAATGTCTCAAACTGCGAGTTCACCCGTCATGCCGGTGGCAACCCAGAATTCAGACCTGCCCTATGTGCACACGCACAAAATGTTCCCTATTTTTTCTGTTGATTTTGCTTAAAACTCAAATGTCTGATCTCATTTTTGAACAAGAGAAAACCTCTTCGTAAAAACCAACCTGATTAGCAGTCGTAATATTATCTTTTCAAGATCACCATGCTTTATGAATCTACATGTGTGTGGATGTTTATTGGGTATGGGCACATTCCCAGACCGTGTACAGTGTGTGAGACCTTCTTCAAATTTGTATTTTTCATCCAAAAATTGCAACGGGGTGATTTTACATTCCACTTAAACTGGAACAGTTGGCAGGCATGACCTTTCTAATATTAAAATCTAGCTTCACAAAAATCATTAAAAAAATCCCAGGTGTGCTGTTTTTCCCCGATGCCTGTGATTTTAAACCAGGATGACAGCATGATGCAACAATTCCAACAGAAGTACATGTATATTAAACATACATGTCAGTGCATACCTGATGGTACTCATATTCCTTGGGCACATATCCCTCAGGGATCTCTGCCAACTGTGCTGGTCCTGTATGGATAACACAGGGAAAATATGGATTTATCACAGGGAAAAAAGAATAATCATGATCAGTTAACAGGAAAACAGCAATACAAATTGTTCACATTGATATATTTTCTGAATTTATTAAAAAACTGCTTCTTTGAGGTGGTCAGTGATATGAATTTGGCTATGCGTCAGGATGCTCATTCTATACTACATGTACATGTAGGTTTTGCCATGCAGTGGGATAGCCAGGATTTTACTGGTTGGGGGACGCAAAGGGGCACCAGCATCTTATGGGGGGCACCAGCTTCAGTGATGTGTTTTGGGGGCGCAAGTTTTTGTGAACCGTGTTCAATATCTATTCATCCGGTTTTTTTTTTCGGGAGGGGGGGCACCTGGGGAAGGCACAGGGAATTTGTGGGAAGGGAACACATGTTCCCCACACCCCGGCTACGCCACTGTTGCCACGACACTGACATGTACACCTTCACACTGTGTTCTTAATAAGGTTTGAGAGTTGCCAAAAAACTCACAAGCTTGCTCACGTGGGATTCAGTTCAAACTCTTGGACGACACTAAGAATGCAGTGTGAATACAGAATACACATGCATCAGTGTAAGACCTACAGTGAAATTAACATTCCCAACACAAAGCAAAATTGATATCATTGACTATCTGCAGTACTTGCTGCTGCACTGGATTTGAGCCAGCCACCCAATCTCAGCAAAATCTGTAGTCAAGCAGTTGAGCCGACTGCACTATTGAGCAGGAACTCATTGGTCGAACCCCATGCAAGCTTGTGGTTTCTCCGTGATTCTCAGACCACACCAGAGCACGTCCTGAATGTATACACGTATGTCGGTGTAAGAGCAAAACTTGGCATAGTTTACGTGAGTTTCTTACCTATAAAAACATTGATGAATGTTATGCCCACAGCACATGGTATTGCGGTCAGAAGTACATAAAACCTCTGTTGACAAAAGATATTGAAATGGAAGGAGATGAGTTACATCACAATGTTACACCAAGGTTGCCAACCAGGGTTTCCCTTTTCAACGGTGAGGCAGCCCACCTTACTGAGTTCAGTGACTACCTCATTCCCCTCTGTTGAATTGTACCACCTCAGTCTTAAAATAAATGAAAAAAGAATAAAAAAAGCAAAGTACGTGCAACTTTGATATTTGAATAGATACTTTTAAAAGTGTTCAGGGGGCCACAGAAGACAAGATGTATTTAAAATTGAGAGTAAATATGCTTTTACACTATAAAATTAATCTAAGCCCTTGCTGGAACACTGGCTTTGTTACAGGTACTACCATTTGGGCAAAATTTGTCTGACCATCTCACACATGTACTTATTAGTAACCCGAGGGAATTCTGTCTTTAAGAACGGCTGTCAAGCAGTTTGCTCTGAGACATGATCTCAGACATTAAGACATCATGCATGTGTAAATTCCAGAGCGTAATACGTGCGCAGTTAGAAGGGCCCATGTACAGTGCATGTATGACGAGACCAGTGAACACCAATGCAAAAATGAAATCCAGGGAAACTAAAATGTTCCTTTAATCACTGAACTGATTATTACTTGTATGGTCAAATTAAACCAGTTCAATTATAAAACTTGTAAGTCTTTTGACTCTTTTCTTATTTTGCCTCTACAATAGACTTGTGTTATATGTAGTATGGACAGGCATAATTCAGTCACGGGTGCACGTGACATCCATGCCAACATGTACAATATGATGGACTAAAAGAGGGTTCTACTGTATTTCCCTTGACCTTCAGCTTGGGGAAAGTACCGATAGAGCCTTCTTTTGGTAACACACAGTCCCTAAGGGCACATAGGTAGGTACACAGTACTAGTGATCTCAATGCATAGTCCATACATGTAAACTACATTTTGGAAACTATACACATACACTGTACATACAACACCACACAATATGAAGGTAAAATATGCCATACATACATGTACATGTATGGTAGGCTCTTCTTCAGGCCACAATTTCTTGGCATAAATAAAGTTTGAATAATATGCCCTATCTGTGAACATATACGTACCACTGCCCTGATGAATCGTTTGTCGGCATAGCGGGTTGGAGTGACAAAAAACTTCCTTGCTGCACCCCCACTGGCCATACCACGCTGGGTAACTGCTAAAAACATACAAAAACGTATTGTGGTAAAATTATGTTCCATGTGAATATCAACCTGCAAATAGCCTGATGCTGCCTTGAGTAGTACTGAGCATAAAATGTTGTATACACTGCATACATGTACGTGTATGGCACATCCCATGGACCCAGTGTTGACAGAGGGCCCTATTTATGGCTCTTGAGTTGTCCGAGCCCTGGACTCACATGTCTACATGTACACTGTACATGTATGTCACAGCTTAAAATGTTAGGCAGAAAACGTCTACCTCTGTTCATTTTTAGATTCATTCTTGAAACTATTTTCAATTAAATAACTTCACTATTATTCATGAAGTTTGCAACCAATCACTTTGAAGGATCCTTCACGGGCCCTGCGGCTTACATGTATACCATTCTATAGCCAGCTGTGGTCATTGCAAGGAAGCATCTTATATTATTCATACCAAGCCTTTTCTTACATGACTCAAAGTGACCTTCCTGTAAACCAAGTATACAGTGCATGAAAAGTAGTTTTTATTAGTTACAATTGAAAATTGTACGTTTATTAATGATATCCAGAATGTAAAACTTTTTGTTTTGATTAGTAAACGGGAGAAAAATTTCAACCAAATTTTTGGAAAAACTGCCAAGCCCGTGAGAGGTACATCACAAACACCAAAAATAAGCCTATCTGTGATGTACATTCAAACATTTGCGCTGCTACCAAATTAACCCTAACACTCCTCAATCCTTCACCTGTTGGAGGACTGAGGACTGTTAGGATTAATGCTGCTTGTCTTTGGTTGAGTTTGGAAAATTCAGTCCAACATTTTGACGAGTTTAGAGATTATGCAGACCAGCCCACTTGTACATGTACTTCTGAAAGTAATGGGCCAAACTGGGCCCTCTGAATTGCTCTATTTTGCACCAGATAGCAGGGATAG